CCTCGTGCTGGGTAGAGTGTGGGCCACGTTGTGCAAGATTTTGCTCACCATAACCCTCGGAGCAAGGTCACGGTTTACAGACGTGGAGACTGAGCCTTGGGGACTGGCGGTGGGAACCCAGCTAGGAGGAGAGCAAGCTTGGGCCCGACACAGGTGTTGGTGGTGCACAGGCCTGCCAGGTACACGGGGCGGGAGGAGGAGCTCACAGAGGGGCTGGCGGTGGGGCCGGCAGGTCCAGCGAGGGAGGACAGGGAGGTCTCCTCCCCTCCGTCCCCCTCCACACCTGCTCCTTTGGATCTGGCCCTTTGTCTTTGACAATGTTATGCCTCTGTCTCGGTGGCCTCCTGTTCCTGCCTTCAGGTTGCTGTCCCCCAGGAGGAGCAAGGCACCTCGCTGTTGGAGGCTGCCCTCAGAAATACGTAGGAAGCGGGTGGAGATCACCTGGTTGCTCATTTTCTGGCGGGGAGTGCTCCTGCCCCGTTGCTCCTGTGTGTTTGCACGGACCCCTGGCTGGGCTAGGGGACAGGGTCTCATTTCAACCCTGCCTTTAAGGCTTTATTGGATAAATTATTCACTTGCCCCCCCCAAGTGTATGGATACCACAGGGCTGGGCACCAGTAAAAAGGGCAAATGCTGTTGTCCTCGAGCTTATAGTCTGTGCAGAAAATCTTTGCTTTTTTTTTAATATATATATGTTTTGAATAGGTAATCTATTTACATGGTTTCAATGTCAAAAGGCCAAAAGAGAAAAGGTGAAAATGAACTACCACCCATCTAGTTCCCCACCCAAGAGGCAGCCACTGCCAACTATTTCCTGTGTCTCTTTCTAAAGCCATTCTGCCCGTGTCCTTCAGTGGCCCTTACCAGGCCAGGGAGAGAGGAAGCCGGTCAGGACAGCCAGGGAATGGCTATCTGAAGGCACCGGCTGCTGCCGTCGGGGGTGGGGCTGGGGCTAGGGTTAGGGGGCACAGGCAGGCGTGGATGTTTTGAGAAGGAATTCCAGAAGATCTGGATGTAACCCACCCTCCCAGCCGCCGGCCACTGGTCTGGTTAGGCAGGCGGGGTGTGGGCGTATAGAGTGGGCAAAGCAATGTGGGAGTGAATAGAGACCCAGGCCACGTTCCTACTGCAGCCGAGGGTACTGTCACCCAGAGGAGGGAGACAGCAGCTGCGGGCTTTTGTGCAAGACCTAGATGGGCTTCTTAGCTGTGTGACTTTGGTAACTGCTGGCAGCCTCTCTGAACCTCCTTTCTCCTCATTTCTGAAACCACTAATCCAGGGTTTTAAGTGTTTTTGTTTCTTGAACCCCATTAGCAGTCTGAAAACCCATGGATCTCCACAAATGTATATAGGAAAATGTGTAAGGTTATAATGTAAACAAATTACATCGATATGTGGCTGGTTTCCCCACTTGGTGGGCCCAGAGAGCCCTGTCTCGTGATTCCTGCTCTGAGCGGGGCCAGGGCCTGGCTCTCTTGGGCTGCTCTGGGTGTGCACCTGGGGACACTGTTCCCAGGGCAGCACTTGCTCCCCCCTGGCCTATGTGGGGCCCAGCGGAGGTGACTAGGGCAGGAGGTGAGGAGGAATTCCCTTTGGAGACTGCTTTACAAAGAGTCAAAGCGACAATCCGTTTTCCCTGGTGAGTGGCTTCCCCCACTTCCCCATGCGATCTCCCCTGACTGGAGGTGATTAGATTTGTCCAGCGTTCAGTTTCCAAAAGGTGGCAGCACTGTCCTGGCAATCGGAATCCCAGCGACTTGGGTGGAAGTGTCTGGGTCTCTTCACAGCCGCTGAGGTTGCTGCCGGGTGGACACCGCCTGCCGTCCTCACAGCCCTGTGACTCTGTCCTCCCCAGTCACCTAAATCTTAGCCTCAAACACAGGCCCTGTCCCTGGTGGGGCTGCCCTCAGGGACCTTCTGAGGGGACCGATGCTTTGAAGGAGCTGGGCTGGACCCAGCAAGCACCCTGGGACTGTCCTGCCATCAGATGCAGAAGGAAGTTCCATGCCTGCCACAGACTGCTCCCCTCTCTTTTGGTGTGCCTGGGGTGGCTGGGAGGGTTCCTGGAGGGAGGTGGGCATTTTAGGCAATGGAGTCTTGGGTGGTCTGGGCTAAGCTTTTGCTTTTCAGACAATTTCACGTTAGCTAAGAGCAGGGTCAAGCGTCTCAGGGAGTCTATTGAAGGCACGTAGCTGTGCAGTGATTTCTAGTCTGGTGGAGTCACATCGGACTCCTGAAGGCACCTTCAGTGTCCCTCTGCCATCAGTTATGAGGTTGTCACCAGGCAGGATACCACTGCCTCTGACATGGCATCCAAGTAGGGATGAGCCAATACCTTAACTGTAATTGAGGGTGTAGATTTTCAAGAATCTGCTACAAGATAGGGTTTTGTACAACAGAAGGAAGAGACCATTAGGGAATATTTGCATGCATGTTCCGACTGGTGGATACAATGGCTTTTATCTTTAAAGATTCTGCCTGTAGGAGACCAGAACACAACCCCTTTGGAAGATTCACGTCTATATATTCTTTAAACCAACCTGCTAGTCCTCCATCTTCCATGTGTTTTCTCTCTTTCACACACACGCGCACATACGCATTTGCACATTCATTAAAGCAAATAGAGGGAAACACCCACAAGTTTTATTTATTCATTTATTCCCATAATATTTACTGAGCCCTTCCTGTGCACTAGGTACTGATCTTGGCCCTGAGATGTGCAGTAAACGAGACGGCACAGTCCCCACCTCTGTGGAATTTATGTTCTAGATGGAGGAGGCAGGGAGTGAACAAATAAAGGAATGAGCTAGAAAATTATCACATGGAGATGTGCTCTCCAGAGAAGTGGCTTTAGGATGTGATAGCGCGATGGCAGTGCGGGGGACACCTCCCAGGAGGTGACAATACGTCAATGAGATGTGGCCGGGGGCGTGGAGCTGGGGCCTTGGGGCGAGCATGCGCTTGGTGAGTCTAAGGCACGAGAGAGAAGGCTGGAAGGGTGAGGTCGACAGGGAGTAGGGGCCGGATCACGTAGGCCTCACAGCGTGGGTGAGGAGTTGATGTGGGGTGCAGCCACGGAAGGCTTTTAAGAAGGCAGTGATGTGAAAAAGTACCTCTGACCCAATTAAATAGCTCGTGAAGTGCACACATTGGGTTTTTTTTTTTTTTCTGGGCTTCATAGAGGAACATGTGAGGGTGGCTGGAGCCAGCCAGAGTCGCCGTGGCTTTTAACTCTGCTGGGCACGTGCCAGCTGCTCACTGCCAAACCCCAACGCAACCCCGTGAGAAGGGCATCGGCACCGTCAGTTTATCGATGAGCAAACCTGGGTGCAGAGGTGAAGCCGTTCACTCCAGGTCCCCAGCGAGAGGGCAGGGCTGGGGTTTGAAGCCCAGCCGGGCAGGCTCTAAGCGCTCTGTCCTATGTTCCTTCCTGGAAGTGGAGTCCGAGGGCAGCTTTGTGGTTGTTATCAATATGTTTTTATTACATGTGAAACACTTTCATAATTTGTATTTCCTGGACAAGTACTATGATTGAATCAGTTTTTCATATGTCTTTTTTTTTTAATTGTGGTAAACTGTCTATAACATAACATTTGCTATTTTAACAATTTTTAAGTGTATAATTCAGTGGCGCTAAGTATAGTCACACTGTGGGGCAGCCATCACCACTCCCCGTTTCTAGAATTCTTCATTACCCCTCCCCGTTTCTAGAATTTCTTCACCACCCCTCCCTGTTTCTAGAATTTCTTCACCACCCCAAACAGGGACTCTGAAGCCATCAAGCACTTGCTCCCTGACCTCCCAGCCCCTGGTAACCTCCAGTCTACTTGCTGTCACTATGAACTTGCCTATTCTACATGTCTCACATAAGTGGAATCGTACAGTATTTGGCCTGGCCTTAGTCACTTAGCATAATGTCCTGAAGACTCATCCATGCTATAGTGTGTATCCGAACTTCATTTCTTTTCGTGGAATGTAATATATACGAATACACCACATTTTGTTTCTCCGTTTGCTGACGGACACTCGAGTTGTTTCCACCCTGGGCAGGCTATCACATTGAGATTATAGCAGCTCTTCCAGCTACTCACTCCAGTCTGGGGCTACTTTCTGAAACTCGGAGAATCTGAGTGTGCCCAAAGTTGGCAAGCCAGCACTGCGTGGTGGCAGGAGCTGAGCTCTTCAAGGTGACTGACATCTGGCTGTTTAAAAAGACCAGGATGGACACAGTAACTCTCATTGTGCTGCTACCAACTCTAATTTGGCTCTTTTCCTGTCCATTTCGTAGAATCATAGTGTTGAATCAGATCTCCAGACAGGGCATCTTTTCATTCATCATTTGCTTCTAAGCATGAAATCATCTCCTGTTAGATACAAATTTAGTCTGTTCTTGAAATTCTATAGAATTTCAAGGGGCCGGGTGGGGGCCCATGTCTCTGCCAAGTGACCCTGGGCAGGTCATGCCTAACTGGCCTCAGTTTCTCCATATGTAAAATGCGGTAAAGCCCCTTCTAAGGGATTAAAGGTTAAGACATTCCTTTTTAGTTCAAATCTAATTTCCTCCTTGATACTTGTACTTTAAGTCTGTTCCTTTCTCCTGTGTGAGAAGCATGTGGCCACTGTTCCTGCCATTATAACCCTTATTCCCTGGCCCACGGCTGTGGCGTCTGACATCCTTCAGCTCTGATTGAATAACGAAAAGCGGAGTTCCCAGAGTCCCAGGCAGGTGGATTGCAGTTCCCCTGCTGGCTGGTTTCGTTTCTTCTTCCTTGAAAAGCTGCTGTTTGACTGAGAGCCCCTGTTCCCTCTGGAGTCCAGCCTGTTTCCCTGGCCTTGGAACTGTGGTTTATGCCTTTCCAGGTGACCTGCCCCCTCTTTTGTCACCAGGAAGTTAAGCTGTTGTCACCTGTTTGCTCCCCAGCCTCCCGCTGTGCAACAGGAGGAAATTCGCTCCGCATCATCAGGCACGGGACCACTCACAGCCATTTTTTCTCTTTCAGAACGATCAATCTGAAAAACCCCATTCTGCAGCAGGTGCTGGAGAGGAGGAACGAGGTCTTGTGCATCGTGGTGCAGAAGATCGTGACGACGCAGAAGTGTGCCATCTCCGAGCACGTGCAGGTGGAGGAGAAGTGTGGTGGCATGGTGGGCATCCACACCAAGACCGTGCAGGTGCATGTCCAGGGGCCCTGGGGGCAAGGCCACGGCAGCCCTGGTGACCTGGGTCAGGGGGCTCTTGGAGGGTGTCTTCATTCGTCAGGACTCTTTCTGTAGTGAGTTAACAGAAATCCAGCTCGGATTGGTTTAAGTGAGCAGGAATTTATTGGCTTGTGTAGCTGAAACACTTGGGGTAACCTAGCTTCAGTCACTGGATCCAGGACTTGGGGACATTGTGAGCTGCCTTCCCTGGGCCTGGTGCTCTCTCCTGTGGTGCCCACAGCTCTGAGCTCTCACCTGACTTCCTACTCGGGGCTGGGGCGTTTTCTCAGCCTCTCTTGAGCACAGGGCATGAGACCAGACGTGGGGGAGGCCAGGGAGGCCTGAATGCATAGGAGGCATCGTGTGCTCTCGCCCACAGGTGTCAGCGACGGAGGATGGCAACCTCGTCAAGGACACCAACGTGGTGCTGGAGATCCCAGCCGCCACCACCATCGCCTACGGTGTCATCGAGTTATACGTGAAACTGGATGGCCAGTTTGGTGAGTGCCACCTTCTCAGGGTGCACAGGGATCCCCCATGTTCCCCGGAGGTGCACACACGTGGAGGCTCCCCTACTGCTTTGGGGACCGTGGCACGGAGGCCAGAGCTGCCAGGACAGCTGGGCTGCACTAGGGGGAGGCTTTGGGGGGAGGGATGCTGGGGACAGCGTCACCCTCTCTCCCAGACCCCAGCGTGGGGCACGGCAGCAGGGGAGGACGGGTTTCTGCAGGCCGACGGGTGGGCAGCAGCCCCGTGCCCCGACATTCAGTGACATCTCGCGCAAGCCGGTGGGTCTTGGTGAGCTTAGCTTCCTTGTGTCTGGAAGAAGGACATTTCCTCCCTGGGCTGGGGGGAGGACTGCATAAGATGAGGTCTATGGCGTGCCTGGCACAGTGGTTCCACGTTAGCCACTAATAATGTCATCGTTATTGTTGTCCCATCTTCCCTCCCCCAACATGAAGCCAAAAATGCTAAACTCGACCTTTCTGTGCTCATCACGAGTGTGTTCAGAGTGTGGAAATCCGGGTCATTGGTCGTCACTGTGTGGAGAAAATCAGAGCTCCTGAGCTAGTGTCTGCCCATCCTAGACGCCCACAGCCCCTCGAGCCTCGTGTTCCCAACGAGAAGGGCTTGTGCTGAGCCCCAGAAAACTGTGTGCCTGCTGCTTGGGGACATGAATGAGGAAATAGAATAAATTGTCATTCACCTTTTTAGGTGTGATAATGATGTTATGGTCATATTTATAAAAACGAGTCATCTTTTAGAAATTTGTACTGGAATGTTCAGGGACAAAGTGGTAGGTGACATGAGAGAAGATGAGCGGGGCGTGCGCAGGGTGGGGGCAGCGGTGGGGAGCAGTGGCCGAGGGCGACATCGGTTGAAGCTGCGTGGTGGGAGAGCCGGCACAGACCGTGTGCACGCCCGTTGCCGAGGAGGAGGAGGGAGCTTCCGTGAGACGGCTTGCACGCTCTCCTCGCCCACGCGAGCTCCCACGCCATTCCGCGGCAGCTGCAGGGACACGGGACAGGATGCCGAGTGTCCTCATGTGACACTCCCGACAAACCACAGGGCGTTTGAGGATCGTAGGAGAAACAGTGGGGCGCGGGGTGAGGTCACTGAGCGTCCCTGTCTTACTTTGTAGCTGAAGCAGCCTGGTGCGTTAGGGAGGTGGAGTGACTTACCGGATGTGACGTAAAGAGAACAGGTCAGTTTTAAGAAATTGGTCTGGAGAAGGCAGGTCAGGGACCCAGAAATACCAAGGATGCCAGGAATGGTGACCTGTGTCCTCTAGGCTCGTGGTTCCCAATTGGTGTCATCCTGGGCCTGTGGGTTGTTATTGCTTTATTCTTTCTCTTTGAAAGCCTTTTGTCTTCCAAACTGTGTTATGAAGATGACTAAATCGTCCCTCTGCTTTCTGTTATCGGGGTGTGATAAGCAGCGTTACCACGTGCACGTACGTGTTCCTGATGCTTACGCCTTGGGTTGTCCAGCCTTATTGGTGGTCAGCGGTCAATGTGTCACTCTCCCACCTGCAGCTTTATTTAGACATAATTGACAAATAAAAAATTGTATTTATTCAAGGTGTACAACCTGATGATTTGATAGATATGTTGTGAAACGATCATCACCACAATCAAACTAATGAACACATCCATCACCTCACGCAGTTACCATTTGGTGTGCTTGTGTGTGGTGTGAGGAAACTTTGTGTTCTTAGCAAATCCCAAGGCTGGGAGCAGTGGCTCAAGCCTGTAATCCCAGCACTTTGGGAGGCCCAGGCAGGAGGATCACTTGGGGCCAGGAGTTTGAGACCACCCTGAGCAACATATCAAGATCCCATTTCTATAAAATTAAAAAAAATAAATTAGCCGGGCATGGTGGCACATGCCTGTAGTCCCAGCTACTCGGGAGGCTGAGGCAGGAGGATCGCTTGAGCCCAGGCGTTTGAGGTTGCTGTGAGCTAGGCTGATGCCACGGCACTCTAGCCTAGGCAACAGAGTGAGATGCTGTCTCAAAAAAAAGGAAAAATCTCAAGAATACAATACAATATTATTACTATTAACTACTACCACTGGGCTGTATGATACATTAGATTCCCCAGAACTTACGCATCTCACAACTGAAAGTTTTACCCTCTGACCAGCATGTTCCCATTCTCTTTCCACCTTCCTCCCCCACCTACTGGTAACCACTCTTTTCCTCTCTGTTTCTGTGGGTTTGACTTGTTCGGATTCTACACATAAATGAGATCACATGGTATCTGCTTTCCATGCCTGGTTTATTTCCCTCAGCATGATGTCCTCCACCTTCATCCATGCTGTCACAAATGGCAAGACTTCTTTTTCTTAATGGCTGGCTAATATTCCATTGTGCATGTACATCACATTTTTCTTTATCGAGTTAGTCATCTGTCAGTGGACACTTACATCATTTCTGTACCTTGGCTATCTCGAGTAACGCCGCTTTCAAAAGGCCTTCTGAAATGTTGGTGCGCGCCCAGGAATGCCATGAGCACCCCGAGGACCCTTTGGTGGCGGGGTCCCTGGCCTGGCCTGCTGCTCTAGGCAGTGGTTCTCACATGAGATCCTTCCTGTTTGTCCCAGGAGGTGACCGGACCCTGCCCTGCACGCAGCCCCCTTGGGGTGGCCTGTTGCTTCTGTGGCGGCCTCTTTTTTTCTCAGAAGCGGGTTGAAAGACACAGCCTGGTCTGGCAGGGCTCTCCTGTTTGCATTTCAATTTCAAGCCTTTTTATCTTTGCTTCTGCCCCTATTGAAAATAAACTCCTCTTTGTGCTGCCTAGAAGAGGTACCCTAGGGACATCTTGACCATTCCTTTTGCTCATCACCCCCAGCCTGGCCTGGGGGCCAGCTCTGTGGCCCGTTTCCACTGCCCAGCACAATGCCTTCGCCGCTTGCTGGTGGCACCACTGTTCTGGGTGGGCGACTTACTGCCTGACTCTAAACCAGTTCTGCTTTGCTCTTTTTGCTCATCTGTCTTCTGTTGCTCTTGCCGCAGAATGTTCTGATACAGCTTCATAAATGTAAACCTGCAGGGGCTGGAAGGGCCCTTAAGAGGCTGTCTGCTCTCTCCTCCCAGGTGGGATTGCATCTGACAGGGACCCAGGTTGTCTTCTGAAACGCCAAGACAATGCGGACTCCTCCCATGTCGCTGTAGCATGACCCCTTCCTTCACCAATAGCTCCCCTCTCTGGAGACACTTGTGGCCAAGCAGAAACATCCTCTCATGATCTCGAACTTCAGCTTTGCACTTTTGTACAACTTGGCATTTGCTAGCGTCCTTTCAGCACACTGCACCTGAATCTGTGCACTTCCCCCCAGGCCCAGTGCCCTGACACCATCTTTCCCCTGGTGTCCCTTAGAGTCGGGGTCTCACTATGTTGGCCAGGCTGGCCTTGAACTCCTGGACTTAAGCGAGCCTCCTGCCTCAGCCTCTTGAGGAGCTGTGACCACACAGGGTCATGCCACCGTTCTTGGCTTTGCCACACACCCTTAACTGGCTCTTCTACCTCTCTGAATCTTAACTGTCTGTCCCATCCTAGCAGTGCAGCCAATGTGCTTATTTTGAAATAAAAACTGGATCATTTCACTTGCTCAAATACCCTTTTGTGGCTCCTTTTGTCCCAAGGACAAAGTTTGTGCCTCAGGGGCATTGTGGGCCCAGCCCTGTGTGTCTCCAGCCTGCCCTCCCTGACTTGGGGATCTTGCCAAAGTCGGCCCACTCTCCGGACGTGCCACTCTCTCACCCCTGTGCCTGCTGCTCTCTGTGGAGCGCGCTGCCGGCCTCTTTGCCTGGGTCCCGCCGAACCGTCGGGAGGCTGCTTAGGTGCTGCCTCCTCCAGGAAGTCTTTTCTGGTTCTCTCTCTCTGTGATGGGGTCCAGGTCACACGACCCCAAAATATGTTAAAGTGAAGGAATTTGAGAAAACTGCAGAAGCAGAAAAGTCACTGTGACCTTCCCTTCACTGTTCTGCCCTGAAGAGGTCACGGAGCCTCATGCGAGAGGTGGCCTCCCTGTAGGTGGGGGGAGGGAGCAGCCTTAGCTGGAAGGCACAGGGACACAGAAAACCTGCACAGACAGGCCTCGCTGAGTTCCCCCCGGGTTGGCCATCATGTGATCATGGTTTTTGGCCTGTCGTATCTCTCCACTACTCTCCATCAAGCCTAGCACGCGGTACTCAGGTTTAGCTGTGTCTGTGGTCTCCTTTCCTCACGAAGTCTGCCGTGTCACATAAAACTAACAGTAAATTTGTGTGCTTTTCTCTTGGTAATCTGCTGTTTGTTATGAAGCCCTCAGCCGTCTACCTGGGACGGGCAGCAGGGTGAGCTATTTTCCTCCCCCGAGCCACCCTTACCACGCCGACTGCCCAGGCCTGGTTGCGTCCTCCTGGCGTAGAGTGGGGTCCTCGCGTGTCTGCCGGATGGGAGGGATGGATAAATGAAAGGGGATGAGGGAATAGGCAGCGGCTGCGGGGGCTGTGCGTGGGTGAGGCATTGGTATCGTGGACTCCTCAAATGCCGGTTGGCTCTGCATCATCCTGGGGGCCTGACAGGGCCCCTGGCAGGATTCGAGGCTGTGCGAATGGTCACTGCACCTGTCCTCAGGGAGCAAAAGCATGGGTGCGGGTTTGCATTTAGCCACTGCAGTGGATAAGTGCAAAGGCCGGAGGATCTGGGGCCCTGCGTCTCCAGCGAGCATGGGTCGGTCGAGTAAACCAGGGATCATTTCACTTGCCTTTAGGCAGACATTCTATCTCCATGAGCATCGTTAGTGAAGCAAATGAAAATATGTGCTCATACCCGTGCCTCCCACATTTCACTGAAGTCCAGGCTCAGCCGTATTTTTATTCTGCAGCTTTTGCTTAGGTATGCCGATTATTAAGTAGAGGCGCCGAGAGACCCCTAATTCTTGAGTTCACTTACTGTCCCTGCTTAGCAAGGACATAACAACTGTTACATTTCTACCCACAACTTAAGTATCTTAGCAGGGTTCTCAAATATGGAGGTGTTTGAGGAAATGTTTATTTTTGTTAAAAACATTTTATTGTGGAAATTTTCACAAGTGCAAAAGTAGAGATGATAATATGGTGAACCCCCATGTGCCCAACATCCGGCTTCAGTGACTATGCTAATTCATGTGTCATCCATCACTCCACCTCCTCCTTCCTTTCACACTGGGGTGTTTTGAAGCAAATCCTAGGCATTATATTGTTTCACCTGTAAATATTTCAATACTTTTAAATGGTAAGGCTCTTTAGAGACCAGTTTTGCTTTCATATAAATAGATATGTATGGAATGTATTCTTTTGGCTTTTCTCACTCAATGTTTGTGAGATTCATTCATACAACTGCAGAAATCAGTTCATTTTTTATTGCTGTGATGATTATATTTATTAATAAAGAAAAGACTCCTTGAAAACATAACCATATACCATAACTACTTATGAACTCAAATATAGTGATAATAATTCTTTAATATTGTCCATGTTCAAGTTTTCCCAGTTGTTTTACACATGGAAGGTTTCATTTATTTAGAGGTGGTCTGTTTATATCAGGATAAGAAAATATATCCAGTGTTTTAAAGATTGCATCCTGCCTACTCAGAGAGTACCCAGTAGAGAGATTTATGTTAAGAACAACCATTTCTTCTGTGTTTGTAGGAAGTAGCTGGGTTTTTGGCCAAGCAGCATAATGTGTGTAGGAATCAGGTTTTATGGGCAAGAGGGCGGAAGTGTCCCCTGCCCCACCCCCTCCCCCAAGTTAGGTAGAATGTGTCAGCAAGGCCAGGCTGACCCTGTGCCTGGCTTGTCCCTTTCTCCTGCACTACAGAATTTTGCCTCCTCCGAGGGAAACACGGTGGCTTTGAGCACAAGAGGAGAATTGGGTCTGTCTGCCTGGATCCCCTGGTCTTTCCAGACTTTGCATTCGTGGACGTGCCAGATGCTGGACACGGGACGTCTTCCCAGGATGGGGTGTTCAGTGTTTTAAAACAAGGTATTGCCAGCAGGGCGGGGCGTGGGCAGTTGAGGGCCATTTGAGCCCTGGGTCCCAAGAGGTGCATGTGGCTTTCAGGATCAGTGACCCCTCAATGACTCACAGAAAACATTTGACAAAACAGGGCAGTGCAGTGGAGTCCTGGTCCCCTCGGCAGGACTGACTGTGGTTGGAGCGTAGGGAGCCCCGGGCCTTGGGTGCCATGTTCTGAGGAGAGGTGGGGAGAAAGACCCTACGTGGAGCAGAGCTAGGAGGCCGAGGAGGGAAGCTGTCAGGCTCCTGGCATTTTTCTTTCCTAGTAACCACAGCAGCCCTGCTGGCTACTGAGAACGGCTAGTCACAGCAAGCATGGAGAACTCAAGTTTTGCATCTGTGTCGTCATATCCCAGGCTTCATTGCCAAGACAAGCGACGCTTTGTCAGCCTGGCAGAATGCCGTCGTGGAGCCTCACATTATCCACACGGCTCGGGCTGCCCGGTGCCAAGGAGGAAGAGGGGCAGGGCCCGGGACGGGCCTGCGGCAATTCCTTTAGCTCCTCACAGCCTGTTGTGTTTTAAAAAGATGGCTGCTGCTTGGTGGGCTGTGGGCTGCAGTGTGGCATACAGGAGGAGGAGGAGGGGATGGACAAGGAAGAGGAGAAACAAATAATCGGGGTGAAAGCTTAGTGCAAGAGAGAGCTGGGGGACAGCCTCTGGCTTGGAGGGCGACAAGAGAGACTCCCCCATGGAGCTTTGATGAGGCTTTTGCTCCTCCAAACCCCAGAGGAGGCTTTTGCTTCTGCAGCAAAAATGTCAGTGTTGGAGGTGATGACAACGCAGGCCTAGTCTTTCCTTCCTGGCTCTTTTGAGATGGATAATTGGGTGTGATTTTCGGCTGCCACTTAAAAGATGTTGTTGTGGGTTAGCACCACAGCACAGCGGTCCTGCCGCCTCGAGCAGCACCTCAGGGACGTGCAAGGGCAGTGAGTGCTGCAGCTCTCTTGGCACGGCCTTTCCCGCGGGCCTCCCTTTGGAGTCGGCCGTTCCTGTCAGGTGGGCAGCCAGGTGTGCCGGGCAGGAATACGGTAGGGGCCTGGTTTTTGTGCCCTCAGAACCTAGGCCAACCTGCACAGCTCTTCTCTTCAGGCTGGGGTTGGCAAAGGGAGTTTTTGAATATGTCGGTTAATGATGTTAGACGTTCTTCTCTATGGGGCTTTCTACAACTGTTTGCTGGAATTTTCCATCAACACAGGTGGTGCATGTATGTATTAGTGTGCATCCCTGCAGATGGAAAGATGAAAGCATTGCTTTATCAAATCTTTAATTTATGAGAAGCTTTTGACTATTAGAGAAGAAAAAAGATGATTACAAGGAGAGGGCTCCTAAGCCTTCTACAGGGGGGACGTGAGTGACAGACACAGCATAACGGGCCTAGTGCTCAGCTTGAGGACTCATGAGGAAGGGATTGGATGGGAAAAGTAGAATAGCTGTGTTTGCCGTGAAAATACGGTGCAAGCTTCTTTGAAAAATGTGCATTAAATATTAAAGGGTACAAAATCTGCAATGTATTATAAGAAAGGACATGAAAAATAACGTATTTTGGGATTTGTATGGCTCTGAAGTATTATAAAAGTACCGACTTGTGTTTAGTAATTCAGCTTTATAATTTACAGAAATCGTGTTAGGAATCTAAATGACTTTTCCAGAAAATGACTGATTAGGCTTAATTAATGTTTAGAGAGTCATTAGAGGAGAGTGAAGCCAGAAATACAAAACCCAGCTTCCTTCTTTCTTTCTCTCTCTCGTCCCACTCTCCTTCCCTTGCCTCTGGTAGGAGTTTGGTTATTGAAAAATATGCAGGGTGGCCTTTAACTTGACGTCAAGTTCCATGGCTGACTCTGTAGCTGGGAATATCTGGGAAAGAACTGACAGTTAGCTATAAAAAGCAGGAGTTGCTGTCCCGTGTTGTGAGACGTGCGTAGCAGTCACGAGACTGGGTATGCTGTGTGTTCACAGCCACCCTGCTCTTGGAGAGGAATTTCCAACCCTTTGTGGAGCTGCCAGAGTCGCAACAGACGGCAGTGAGCAGCGTCCTCCAGGCGGTCCTGTTCGATGAGGAATTACTCGTGGCCCTGGAACAAGTGGTAAGACCAGACTTGTCTTAAGGTGGTGTTTTCACCTGGATTTTCTGGGAACGTCCACAGGCTGGGCCTCTTGGGCTTTGAGCCAGACTAGAATTGTGTTAAAGTTTTCTCCACCTCCTTTTAACTCTAAAGCTTGTCTCCCTTTCCTTCTCTCAGGTCCTTAGTTTTCTAACTGCAGACAGGAAGCTGCCGTGAGGAAGAGAGGGACTTAGTAGTTTCCTAGGGCAGCCTCATCAAATTAACTTGGGGGCTTAAGACAACAGAAACGTGTTCCCTCACAGTTCTGGAGGCCGGCAGTCTACAGTCAAGGTGTGGGCACAGCCATGCTACCGCCAGAGGACCTAGGGCAAGTCCTGTCTTGCCACCTCCAACTTCTGGTGGCTCCTGGTGTTCCTTGGCTTGTGGAAGCGTCACTCCAGTCTGCTGTCTTCACGTGGTCTTCCCTTTACTGTCTCTTAGAAGGACACCACCATTGGATTGGGATCCACCCCAATCTAGGATGATCTCACCTCGAGATCCTTATTTGAGTTACATCTGCAAAGACTAAGGTCATGTTCTGTGTTTCCAAGTGGACATATATTTTGGGGGCCCCCCTCAGCCCATCCTAAGGGGGCTGTGTGGTAGAGTCCAGCAAGTCAACCTGTTCCAGTTAGACCAGAGACATAAATAGGCCTTTGCATTCTTCTGTTTTACAGGAGGAGGATTTCCTGGGGAGGCCAAGTTCCTTAACTCTTAGTTGTGCAAATGGTGAGGGGCACACAAGCTGTCCGACCCTCCACTCCCCAGATTCCGTGTTCCCCTTCACTAAAGAAAGCTGAGGCTTTATAAACCTGATTTTTTTTTTTTTACTATAGTTTTATTTTTTTTGTTCTTTTGTTTTTTCTGTTGTGAAGGGAGTTTAAATAACTGCTTTAATGCTTTATGGTTTCCAGCGAAGCATTCATATTATTTTTCCCTCTAAAAATTAGATTGTGCCCAAAGAGCTTAGTTGCCAGTGACGGAAGCTGCATGGGTGAAACAGTCCTAACGGTCCACGACACCTTCACATTCTGAAGGATGCAGAGCTCAGCCCCCGGGAGAACAGAAATGTTTCAAAATGCTCATTGACTTTTACTTCCTAAAATAACTCCTTCCAAGAGGAAAATGTCAGGCCAGCACCCTGTGGGGAGAGCCTCAGCGCCTAGTTGGACGCTGGGGAAGCAAGCTGCTTGGGCAGGGTTGGGCTGGGGAGGGGGCCGGCTTTCATGTGAGTGGACGTGGACCCAGAGGCTACAGTGGAGCAGAACTGGCTTGCTCAGCAGGGCCCCCTGCCCCATGGCAGGCCCTGTGGGGACAGAGGAGACTGCCTGGAACTAGCTGGGGGCTGGAGAGCCAAGCTTGGAGCTTGAGAACCACCACGAGATGGTGCATTTGTATTCCTTTCCGCAGTCCTGCATGTAACCACTTGTTTCTGGTCCATGGTACGACCTGGCAGACCCTGTCCTGGTCTGGAGGGTTCTATCCCACCAGTTCCTGCATGCCTCCTCCACTCTCGGCGAATGTGCAGTACTTGGGCAAAGCTCAGCTTACTGTCTCCTTAGGAGGAAATGTAACCCTGTTGATTAGTAATTTTAAAACACAGAAGAGTTGGGCATCTTTCTTTACTTGGAATAAGGTGAGAGGCAGGTGTGTGCGCTGTGGGGCAGAGGCCCTGGGTTGCACTGCCAGGTCTCTAACTCTGCAACAACTGTCTCCTTTATCCCCCGCCCTGCAGTGTGAGGACGTGGTCAGTGGCCTCTCGCTCCCGCTGGCACTGCTGGCGGAGCTGACGCCCCCGCGGCAGCAGAACCTCACGACCTTCCTGCGGCTGGTGGGGTGCAGCGTGCAGGGGCCCGAGGATGCGGTCAGCAATCAGAGGCTCTTTGCAACGGCCTACTTCCTGGTCAGCGCTCTAGCAGGTATGGAAAAAAGGAAATGAAATGGCTGTTGTCACTTTGAAATTGCTTTGCCTAGTATACATTCTTCTGGGTACAAAGAAATAACTGGGGAGATCTGGTACACATGGGTCCCTGGCTCCCAGCACAGGGAGGAGTAGAGGTGAGGCCTTTCCATTGCCGTGAGCCTTCTTCCCTGCTCTCTCCTAACCCCCACAGGGAGAGCCACCTACGGGCACACCCTGCCAACAAAGCCCAGCATCTCCCAAAATACAGCCTGCGAGTCACATGTGAGCCCTGGCGGAACTGAGTGGCAGTGGCTTTCGTTTTGTAGCTGTTCTCCCCTAGGGTTCTGGTGCTTCTAATCCTCTCATTCTCTGCACACTCGTCACTCCCCACCCGTGTGTGGTGCCGTTGCCGTCGGGGGCTTTGAGGCTGTGGTGAGCATCCCGCGATCCAGCATGCGAGGCTGGGAGGCGGAACTGTGGCTGGGCTGGCAGCTCCATAGCTTCCTGCACGGGTCCTGAAATGGCCTCCCAGGGGAGTGGCCATCCAGTTACAGAGCAATCCCTGCCACCCCCCAACACTCCTAGAACGCACCATGCTGTAGGGCCTGTGGTATCAGGACGTGGTCATCCTTCGTGAGGAAGCTGGGCTTTTTTGTTCCCGGCCTCCCAGTCGATATCATCAGGGCACTGAGTTTCTGGCACATTTAAGGTTCCTACCCAGCACCACACAGAAACAGAAGCCTGGTAATCTTCAATTTTTAGAGAATGAATCAGAGGGAATGCCTCTCCCAACTCCATGTGCTGACGAGTGTATGCTCTGCGTCTTGTTCTGAGTTACAAGATAAAAATTTTGACTGGTTACCTGTGATAGCAAATAAGACGGAGTCCTGCGGAACTCCACTAGAGACTTTTTCCCGATGTTAACACGAGGGTATTAGTGACAGTCTTTGCGTACAGCCATTCTGTCAGGCTGATCCATAGGCCAGGGCTCTGCAGCTTGTGAGAGGCCTTTACTTCACATCCCCCATTACTTATTGCGGCCTTTTTATCAATAGGCTGGATGAGTGATGTCCAATATGTAGCACAGGGCCGGCGCTGTGCATGACCAGAGTCTCATTCTCCTTGGGCCTAAATGCGGCTTCAAATTCTCTGCAACCCTGCACATAGGTAGCTGCTCGGACTTGACATATAACATGCGTCTTACTTGCTATTTCTGAGCTGGAAGCTCAGATAGTGAAGTTGTTCGGTGCAGCTATTGTCTCTAAATTTCTAAACCAGGGTTGCTGTCTCCTAACTGCCCTCCCACTGATGTGTGACAACAGGGGCTGGGCTGGTGTTGAGCTCTTCTACTCATGCTCTTGTTAATCCTTGGCACTTCTGAGTTGACTTTTTCCTCCTACATAGTATAGTCTCCTCCTTACAATCTGGGGAAAGTACCAGAATAGAATATGGGCTCTTCTTAGGTCCTCACTCCAGTGTTTGGCTTTATGGTGCTTTTAGCTGTTTTTAGCACGTCAGTGCCACATGTGATGTGTCTCCTGGAAAACTTCCTCCACCGCCTGGTAACCTTACACGAGTCACCAAGTTCTGAATGTCTTGGACCTCATTTATAAAAATGGAATTGGTATATGGAAGAGCAGTCAAAATAATTCATTTCAGTTGAAGAAACATTTAACAAGCTTATATTGTTTTAGGTACTACTGGGTACTGAAGGAGGAGAAAATAACAAGTCCTGGCCCTCCAGGACATCAGAGTCCAGTAGTAAAATGAGTTGGAAGCTGTCCTTTCGGTCCTGTGCCCCTAGGACCATGCTCAGAATAGCAAACGAACAATATGGAACTAAAGTAGTGCTGAGAATAAGGGATGAGGGTGTTGATGCCATGGACAGGGGAGATGGCATGTGTCAGTGACTCATCTGGGTACACAGGCCAGATGAGGGCCTACTTGAGAATTTGTTGAAAGCTATGGACCTTCTCTGTAGGCAAATGCACACACATTTGAATGCAATGTTGGGGGATCATCTCCCCAGGGGTTGCCCCACACCGTGGTTGCCTTCCTGGGGTCACCACCTCAGCACGCTGCCTTTTATAAGTAAGGCTGCTAATGCAGAGGCCATCGACTCGCTCACGCACAGCCCCTGGACTAGATGATTCAGCAGGTGACTCTTTCCTTCTTTAGCTCATCTTGTACTACCCCCACCCAACCAGGGATTTGGGTTCCTTTTAGGAACTGTATCGTCTACCCTGGGAGGTGTTTAATATCCATTTTGAACAATGCTGACCTGGATTTCCTGTCCCCAGGGTTTGGCAAGGCCTCTCTGGGGCAGCCCCAGCCTTGCACAGCGCTGCCCCCACCCTTCTGCTGTTGGTGCTCCTGGCCTCAGGATTTCCGTGGTGCCACCCCTGATCAGGCCACACTGTACTGTACTTTTCCCCCCAAAATGATTGGTGACATGGGTAGAGCCCTTTATGCAGTGCTCTGACATATGCAAAAATAAAAATACGATGAAAGGAGGAACCTGAGGCTCAGAGAGGTATATCCAAAGTCACATCCCAAATACGCGGAAGGGCTCATAACGTAGCTCTTCTGTCACCAGGTTGCAGGGTCTTTCTACTTTTCCATGTTGATTCTCTTCCCCAGAGTCTGTGCAGTTCTTCCTGACTGGTAAGTTGAATATCAAGTAATATTCTCCGGTGAAACACAGAGCTGGTGACCAGGTTCCTATGTCTGTTTTCCAAAAGGTCTTTGCTGCCTGTTTAGCACTATTCATTCACTTAATTCAACAATTGCTGAGCACCTCCTCTGCTTAGCTCCTGGGAAGGTACTAAAATGTCAATTAGATACCATCCAGGGGCTGGCTCTGTTCTTGTGGACTTTATTTAGGACAGTGACTGTGTTTTTTGTCTCCTGCAGAAATGCCAGATAATGCAGTAGTTCTGCTGGGCACTTGCTGTAAACTCCAGATTATTCCTGCGGTGTGCCACTTGGTAAGAAACCCCCCATATGGGAGCTTGGGATGGATAAGAATGGGGAAATGAGGAGAGGGGTGGACAGCTAACAGCTGATAAGACACCTCTAGGCTTTCTCATCCACAATAGCTCTTCAGGACAGTTATACAAGAATTGTTACCCCCTTTTATATACATTACACCACCCCCACAGGAAGACTGAGGCCCAGAGGGAAAGGATTTGTTCAGAGAACTTGTTAGTAGGGCCAGGACCCCAACTTTGTCTTTATACCCCAAATCTCATGCTTTTCCGATTGTTTGCAGAGAATTTTGGCCAGGGCTTAGTGCTACATTGCACTGTATTATTGGCAATGGCAGTTTTATGCTTAGACTAGTTTGATTCAGCTCTGCATCAGATTCACCAGGAAGGTGTTCGGGACTGATTTGTCTCGGGGAGATACAGCTTCTTTCATCCTCTTTTAGGAGTATCATTAGCTTGGTGCCCTCAGGAAATGTCATTATAAGAGCAAGCTGAGTTGAACCCCAGAGAGTCAAGGTTAAGCTTTTCCTTTTTAAATTACAAATTGGGCCATTAGCAGAAGGAACCACCAATAGGCTACCCTGAAACCAGTCTAATGTAGCTTTTGCAGGTGTTGGTCAGCCTGGGGCAGAGGAGCACAGCATGCATGGTCTTATTATTTTAAGGTCTAATTACTAAAGGGCAAGGCCAGTCTGCTGTGTTGGCCCAAAGGATCATATCTCAGAGCTCTGCTTAGATTTGGGAAGCAGGTATGGGGGTAGACTGCCTAGATAGGACATTTGTTATACATCTACTCTGGGAACACTGAGCAAGTGGTTACTGCGTGTGTCTTTGCATAGCAGACATCAGAAGACTATGCAGCATGGCATCATTCCAAAAAGCAGTTTAGATGTAATTCACCACTGAAAGCAGATTTTACAGTCCCAGAGGAACTTGTGTCCTTGTATATTGACTGCAAAAACTGAGCTACTTGAAAATGTGCCAGCGTCTGAGTCCTGGGCCAGCTGGGGGTAAAGCTTGTGGCATAGTTTGGTCATGAAAACAATATGTGTCATTATCCTAATTGTATGCAATGATGAGCAAAACAGCTCTGCTTTCAGAGCCCAGCTCCTTTTGTAGCAACTGAGTGCTCAGCATTTACCAACTTAGCCCTTCCTAAGTATTTACAGACCCATCAGCTGCATTCAGGAAGCATATTAAAGAGAAAATCCTCCTCCTAACAGACTTACACTTGTCATTTTCCATGAAGATCAGCTGTAGGATCTTATCTTTGTGTTACCCCCAGGTTCTGCTCTGTTAGTATTCTAAGAGGAGCCACTAGAACACCATCCAGAATGGATTGTGTGCTGCCTTTGCACAGAGCCCCACCCACAGTCATTTGTTTCTTTTGGTAGCTGCCCAACATAAAGAACTCCTTTTTCTTATCCTCCTAGGTGTCTTCATATAATCTCCCCTTAGATGTGCAACAACTCTTTTTAAAACATCAAGGCTCCTGCCTCCTGAAAGAATTTGAGCATCTTGTGTTTCTTAAAGGGATTTACTTAGAACAGGACACAAAATCTATCTGGTGGCCAGAGTAACTTTGAGAGAAACTTTCTGAAGTTTCTTTTGGAGGACTGTGTCAGAGATTCTAATACATTTGCCAAGATCTGGTAAAAGGGTTAGAATCATGAATAGAGGATGTTAACTTCACAACCCTTTGGGTCGCTGTTATCCTAGGGGTTGGCAGATGTTTAGAGAAGGAAGCTGGATATTGCTCAGCCCTGTCCACTATGCTGAGGATGCAGAGCCTGTACCAGTGGAGCTTGTTCTTAAATCACTGGGATGTGGTGCTTGTGCTTAAAGAGCAGGCCTAATCCACTCTCTAAAGCACAATCAATAGTTTGCAGTCTGAGCCAAATGGTAACATTAAGCCCGTGGTTACTGCACAGGCTGCATGTTACTTTCAGTAATGTCACCATCGCTCTGAACATTTTTGGAATTCTTCTTTTGGATTCACTTCAGATTCAGTTAAAATTCACACATTTTAGTTTCATTTTTAAAATTTTACTTTCTACATTATTAGTCTGATCTTGAATGTCTGTTTAAAAATTAAATCTATTGACAAACTTGTAATTGCTGAAGATCTTTTTTAAAATACTACCAGCATGGATCAAGACCCTAAAAGCAAATCAAACATTTCAAATGTTTTAAGCAGTTGGCATTAGAGCAGCATCCAAAATGACCTCTGTGAAGAACAAATGTTCCTTCAATACATTGAGTATCTGTTCTAGGTAGAGCTCGCATGCCCACCTTAAGGTTTAGTGAGGGGAAGCAGACTAAACAGTGAGTATCAAACAGATATTTGATATAGTAAGTTAATGGGGACAATATAATGGAGGAACGTAAGTGTCTCTGGGATGCAGGGTGGGAGAGGGGAGATGAGGAAAGGCCTTCTCATGTGGCATTTCAGCTGCCATCTGAGTGACGAGAAAGGAAGGTCTGTATGGAAATCTGGAGTACATATTCCTGGTAGAAGGAAGGGCATGGGTTCTTGAGGCAGGAAGCATAATTAAACTGTGGTACCTACCTTTGAGGCATTCATTAAAATCTATAAGAAATTCTAATATTGTCATTAAAATAAAGACATACTATGTATATAAGAAAATGTGCATCCTGACCTTTTGAATCTACTGGAGTTAATGGGTCTAATAGAAAGTAAATTGGATAAAATCAGGTCCTGGCCTGAAATCAAGTATATCTTGTTATGTCTTAAAGGGTCTCCTGCTCCATTTGGGGAATTTAAAAGGTGACAAACTTAGTTTTTTTCTAGAATTACCTCCAAGTGCACTACTGTCTAACAATGTGGATTTTCTGTAACATTTTAAGGTGAATTTGTTTAAATGTGTCATTTCAGCTTCAGGCTCTGTCTGATGATGGAGTATCTGATCTTGAAGATCCAACCTTGGCTCCGCTGAAAGATACAGAAAGGTTTGGGATTGTGCAGCGCTTGTTTGCCTTAGCGGACGTTCGCCTGGAGAGACTGCAGTCGTCCGTGAAAGCCATCATCCTGAAGGACCCTAACGTCTTCCCACTAATTCTTTATATAACCTTGAATGGGCTCTGTGCTCTAGGCAGAGGACATTAGTAATGTCATATGTGAATTAGAAGTACATGTTTTTACCCACAACTGAGTATTTCTCAGAATTGTTAAGATACTACTATTGGGTTTAGGTAAGATGTACGTTAAAAATTGATCAATGAAATGAATTGACAAAACAGTTAAGCAGTGACTTTCTGCAGTATGAATGGCCTCAGTTTAAACAGCTGCTTTCTCATCAGAGGCCTCTGCTGTGCTGGTGACCATGTCTAGGTTAGCTTCCAGCACCTAAAAAGCTGAGGGTTGAGAGTTTGTAGTGAAGGCTCAGATCTGTTTTTCTACAGAATAATGGGGTCCATCTAAATTGTGAATGCTGTGGGAAGGCAATTTCTCTTCACAGAAGAGGTTATGTTTTGGATGTGATATGTTATTTGCTTGAAAATTAATTATAAATACCACTAGAGTGTGTGTATATATTCTCTCGAACAAATTATACTAAAAAAAAATCTGGCAGCAACTATACAAAAAATAAGCATCTTATATATAAACTGGAAAGGAACATGCAAAAGTGAAAGTAATTGTGCTAAAATGGTAGCACTGTGCCTTATCTGGTTTTCTGAAATAAAATAAGAAAAACTGAGACCAATGTATAATATGAATCTATTTGTGTAAAAAATTTTAGATGTGTAGAGTTCACCATGGCTCCTTTGGGTAGAGAGACTAAGAGGCTGGGACAAGAGGGAGACTTTTCACCCTTTTTTTCAGACAGGGTTTTTGCTCTGTTGTCTGGGCTAGGGTGCAGTGGCAGCATCATAGCTCACTGCAACCTCAAACCCCTGGGCTCAAGTGATCCTCCTGCCTCAGCCTCCCAAGTAGCTGGGACTACTGGAGAGTAACTCGCGAGTAGCCTGGCTAACTTATATATTTTTTGTAGAGACGGAGTCTTGTTCTTAGGCGGGTCTCAAACTCCTGGCCTCAAGCAATCCTCCTGCCTCAGCATCCCAGAGTGCTAGGATTATAGACGTGCTTTTTCACCCTTCTAGTCCTGTTAGAATTTTGTATGTATTGTCCTCCCTAGCAGCTTTGCCCAGAGGAGGGGCATAGACCTTTGACCCCTGCACATTCCTGGCCAGGATTGGGTGGAACTTGAGGGCAGGCTCACCCAACCCAGCCCGACCTAGCTGCCTCCACTTTATTCTCTGCTGGAGAATAAGGACACACCTGGAATTTCCAGGGCCCCAACAACCACCTGGGGCAACAGTGATTCTCCTGAGGAACTAGAGCTGTTCATAGGGCTCCAAAACAACACTGCAGCTTTTTCCTTCCAGCAAGTGCCTACTGAAAAGGTCAATTTGTACACCCTTTTACTAACTCATCATACAGGGGATGGTTGATTCACAAATACTACAAACTGGCTTAGAGATAAACTGGGCATGTCATTTTCTAAACAGAAGAAAATCCAAATTAAACAGCAACAACTGCTCCAGGCGAGACGGAAACAGCGAAAGAACTCAAAGTACAAAGAATCAAAGCGAAAGGACACCCCCAAAAGGGGACACCAGCTTTCTAGCTATGGATACCAACCAAAATCAGAATACTGAAATGACAGAAGAATTTGAACATGGGTTATAAGGAAGCTTAGTGAAATGCAAGATAAAATGGAAACCCAAGACAAACGACAAAAACAATGAAAGAAATGAGTAAAAAATTCACTACAGAAATTGACTTATTAAAGAAAAATCAAATTTTGAAAATGAAAAATTCCTTCAAGGAATTACAAAACACAGTGGAATGCCTTCAGAATAGGTTAGATCAGGTAGAAGAAAGAATCTCAGAGCTTGAAGACCACACCCTTTAATTAAACAAGTCAGTCACAGAGCAGAGAAATAATATTCCTACAAGAAATAAAGGATTATATAAAAGGCCTAACATAAGATCATAGGCATACCTGAGGGTGAAGGAAAAACTCACAAGGGTTGGAAAAACTACTTGAGAGAATAATTGAGGAAAATTTCCCTGGCTTTGCTATAAATCTAGATATCTAGGTACAAGAAGCTCAAAGGACTCCTGGTAGATTCATAGCAAAGAAGAAAACATCACAACACATAGTCATCAGACAGGCCAAAATAAACATGAAAAGGCCCTACTAGGAGCATTAAGGTGAAAGTAGCAGGTAACGTATGAAGGAAAATACATCAGACTAACTGCAGAATTCTCACCTGAGACCTTACAAGCCAGAAGGGATTGGAGCCCCATGCTCAGTCTTCTCAAACAGAATAATGGCCAGCCCAGAATTTTGTATCCTGCAAAAGTAAGTTTTGATTATGAGGTAGAAATAAAGACTTTCTCAGACAAGCAAACACAGGGAGTTTGTCAAGATGAGACCTGCCCTGCAGCTCAGAACTGCAGGGCGGTTATACATAGATCAGCACAATAGACACCCACCAGTGTAAAATCACCCAAAAGTTAAAGGTGAAAGGCCAGATACCACAATGGCTCAAGAGAGAAAACAAAGCAACAGAGTTCTACTCAACAGGATGAACAGAAATCCATCCCACTTATCAATTCTTCCAATAAATGTGAATGGCTTAAACTCCCCACTGAAGAGACATAGGCTGGCTGAATGGATAAATAGGTACAAGCCAAGTATCTGCTGTCTCCAGGAAACACATCTAACCCAAAGGAATCATTCAGACTCAAGGTGAAGAGATGGAAAACAATATTCCACACAAATGGAAACCAAAAGATAGCTGGTGTAGCAGTTCTCATATCAGATAACAGTCTTCAACAAAAGTAATGAATCACTCAGATTCATTATATAATGGTAAAGGGAACAGTTTGACAAGAAGATATAACAATCCTAAGTAGTCATGTACCTAACACAGGTGCACCTAGATTCATAAACCAAATTCTACTTGATCTAAACAAAATGATAAACAGCAGCACTGTAATAGCCAGGGATTTCAACACCCACTTGACAAAATAGGACATATCCGACAAACAGAAAAGAAACAATGGACTTAAACAGAACTCTAGAACAAATGGGCCTAACAGATATTTACAGAACATTCTACCCCAAAAACTACTGAATATACATTCTTCTCATCAGCTCATGGGACATTCTCTAATGATCACATCCTAAGCCACGAAACATGTCTTAACAAATTAAAAAAAAAAAAAATAGAAATGATACCATGCATTTTCTCAGACCACAGTGGAATAAAATTAGAAATCAACAGAAACACTTATCTGTACACAGAGTCATGGAAACTAAACAACCTACTGCTGAATGGTAGGTCAAGGAGGAAATTAAGATAGAAATCAAAAGATTCCCTGAACTAAATGATAAACGGGTACAAGTTATCAAAATCTGTGGGATATAGCTAAAGCAGTCATGAGCAGAAAATTCACAGTCATAAGTGCCTATATCCAAGAGACAGGAAGATCACAAATCAACAATCTAATGAATTGTCTCTAAGAACTGGAAAAGAAACAAACCAATCTAACCACAGCAGAAGAAAAGAAATAACCAAGATCAGAGCAGAATTAGATGAAATCGATAAAAAAAGAACTATATAGGAGATTAATGATACATAAAGTTGGTTCTTCAAAAAGATAAAATTGACATGCCACTCAGTAGATTAACTAGAAGCAGAAAAGAAAGGACTCTAACAAATTTGATCAGGAATGAAAAAGGAGAAATTATTACTGCTACCATGGAAATACAAAATATCATCACTGAATACTATAAAAATCTCTATGCACATAAACTTGAAAATGTGGTGAAAATGGACAATTCATAGAAACACACAGCCTTCCTAGGCTCAATTAGGAAGAAATAGAATTCCTGAACAGACCAATATTAAGTACCAAAATTGAAACAGCAATAAAAAATCTTCAAAAAAACAAAAGACTGCTGGACCAGATGGTTTCAGACCGGAATTTTACCAGACCTACAAAGAAGAATGGGTACCTATCCTGCAGAAATTATTCCACAACATTGAGTAGCAAGGAATTCTCCTCAACACGGTTTACAAAGCCAACATCACCTTGATACCAATGCCAGGAAAGGACTCAATAGGAAAAGAAAACTACAAACCAATATCTCTTATGAATATAGATGCAAAAATTCTCAATAAAATCCTAGCAAACCAAGTTGAGCTGCTCATCAAAAAAATAATCCATCATGAACAAGTGGGCTTCATCCCAGAGATGCAGGGATAGTTCAACATATACAAATATATAAATGTAATTCACCACATAAATAGAAGTAAAAACAAAGACTATATGATCCTTTCAATAGATGCAGAAAAAGCAGTTGACAAAATTCAGCATCCTTTTATAAGAACTCTTAATAAAATAGGCATAGCTGGGACTTACCTCAAAATGATGAAAGCCATAGATGACAAACCCAGAGCCAACTTCATACTGAATAGGGAAAAATCAAAAGCATTCCTGCTTCAAACTGGAACCAGACAAGGTTGCCCTCTATTACTGCTTCTATTCAACATAGTGTTGGAAGTCCTAGCCATAGCAATCAGACAAGAGAAGGAAATCAAGGGCATCCAAATGGGGGCAGAAGAGGTCAAACTGTTGTTATTTGCTGATGATATGATTTTATATCTAGAAAACCCCAAAGATTCATCCAAGAGACTCCTGGAATTGACAAATAAATTCAGCAAAGTGTCAGGTTACAAAATCAATGTACACAGATCAGTAGCATTTATATACGCCAACAACAGTCAAACTGAGAACTAAAAAGACTCAATACCTTTCACAATAGCAACAAGGAAAACAAAATACCTAGGAATATATTTGACTGAGGAGGTGAAAGACCTCTACAGGGAGAACTACAAAACACTGAGGAAGGAAATTGCAGAGGATGTAAACAGATGGAAAATCATACCATGCTCATGGATTGGCAAAATCAATATTGTTAAAATGTCTATACACCCCAAAGTGATTTACAGATTCAGGGCAATTCCTATTAAAACACCAAAATCAATTTTTGCAGATTTAGAAAAAATAATTCTATGCTGCATATGCAACCATAGAAGTCCCTACGTAGACAAAGCAACCTTAAACAAAACAAAAACAAAATCAAAAACGAATTGGGAAGTATTAATTGACTAGACTTCAAGGCTACAGTAACCAAAATAGCATGGTACTGGCACAATAACAGAGACATAGACCAATAGAACAGGATAGAGGACCCAGATATAAAACCCTCCTCATATAGTCATCTGATCTTTGACAAAGCAGACAAAAACATACACTGGGGGAAAGAATCCCTATTAAATAAATGGCGCTGGTAAAATTGGATAGCCACATGCAGAAGACTCAAACAGGATCTTTACTTCTTACCTCTCACAAAAACCAACTCATGATGGATAACAGACTTAAACCCAAGGCATGAATTCTAGAAGAGAATGTTGGAAAAACTCTTACAGACATTGGCCTAGGCAAATAATTTATGAAGACGACCCCACAAGCAATGGCAGCAATAATAAATATAAATAAATGAGACCTGATTAAATTAAAAACTTTCTGCATAGCCAAAGAAACTATCATTAGAGCAAATAACCTACAGAATGGGAGAAAATATTTGCATGCTATAGATCTGATAAAAGGGTGATAACT